AGCAGAAAGTGGGTAACAGGTCAAAAGTGGTCCCAAATGTTGGCTGAGAACCAACAGAAGTTGTGACATCAGTTGTCACATTGTTTAAAAACCATCAAGATACTATGCATGTATTTCTCAGCTGTCCACTGGGATCCGGGGTTGAAGTCTACTAGAACTCAGGACTGGGGATTTCAACTACCACCAGCCCAGAAGCTATGCCACCTGCACTTAACTGCCGACCCTTCCTTAAGCTGCCCAAATGGCCTTGAGGTCTTTTGAGCATCCCAATTTCTAGACCTCTTTTCTTTCCTACCAAGAGAGATTTTTAGGAGTTCCTCATTGCCTTAGAAGAACATGCACTCAGGGTGCCTGGGTGGCTCAGTTGGTTAAGCATCTGCCGTTGGCTCAGGTCATGACCCCAAGGTCCTGGGATCAGGCCACCTCAGGCTCCCTGCTCAGTAGGGAACCTGCTTCTCTGCTCCTCTCCCTGGCTTGTGTTCTCTCTCTTGCTTTGCAGTCTCCCAAATAAAATCTTTAAAAAAGGGGCGCCTGGGTGGCTCAGTTGGTTAAGCGACTGCCTTCGGCTCAGGTCATGATCCTGGAGTCCCGGGATCGAGTCCCGCATCGGGCTCCCTGCTCGGCAGGGAGTCTGCTTCTCCCTCTGACCCTCCTCCCTCTCATGCTCTCTGTATCTCATTCTCTCTCTCTCAAATAAATAAATAAAATCTTTAAAAAAAAAATAAATAAATAAATAAAAATAAAATAAAATCTTTAAAAAAAAAACAAGCACCCAATCTTGGGGTTCTGAGTTTCAGCCCCAGGGTGGGTGTAGAGATTACTAAAAACTTTTTTTTTTTTTTTAAGATTTTATTTATTTATTTGACACAGAGAGACACAGCGAGAGAGGGAACACAAGCAGGGGGAGTGGGAGAGAGAGAGAAGCAGGCTTCCTGCGGAGCAGGGAGCCCAATGCGGGGCTCGATCCCAGGACCTGGGATCATGACCTGAGCCGAAGGCAGACGCTTAACGACTGAGCCACCCAGGTGCCCCTACTAAAAACTTTTTAATGTTTCTTTGGTTTATATCCATCACATAGGGCACAAAGGAAAAGGCTTTTCTCAGCAGAAATTGGAATAAACACTTGTCAAAGCCATTGTGAGTTGTTTACAAACAGGAGTAAGTTTTATTTTGCCACTTGGCCGGTAGAAATGACCCAATACAGGCCTCAGTGAAGGATCTGCTCTTCGAGCCACGTACTGTGAGGCACTTTACACGGACATCAGTTCTCTAATCCTCATAACATCGTAAGGTAGGGTTATTCTCCATTTGGCAGATGCGGAAAGCGGTGAAATGACGAGCTGGGTTTGCATAGCCCGCATGCTGGGGACAGGAAAATGGATTCAAGATGTTTAGGAAGTAAAATAGGACTTGGTAGACATTGTGGGGGCTGAGGAAAAAGTGGCTTGTCCCCAGGCCCCAAGCTTTAGGGGGGACTGGGCAGGTGACGCCTTTGGTGATGAGGAACCAACTGGGTTAGGGAGAGTGGCTGGAAGAGCTTTGGCTCTAGTGAGTGGGTGGCAGTTAGAAGGACAGATGTCCAGGTGGGAGGTGTCAGTGAGCCAGTTAAATACAGCAGTGTCAGAGGTCTGGGTTGGGGAGAAAAGTGGCAGAGAAGGGGCCCCCTCCTTTAATCCTCGGCATAGCTTGGACGCATGCCCTGTCCTGGTTTCCTCCCTGCCCTCCACCCCTCACCTGAGGAGCAATGTGAAGGCCAGCTGGGGCCTTCAGGGGATGTGCTGGGCGGATGTTCCCATGTGCACTTGCCTGGGAAAGACAGGACTGATATGTTCTTGGGGACACCAGGCCCTACTCCTACTCTGCCTTTAGTGTCCTCGTCCAGTCCAGACAGGGTGGGGCAGGTGGGTACCCCAAGGAAGGGCAGCCCAGACTCAGAAATACCCAGAGGATCTTCACCACCGTCCATGTGCACCAGAACCTGATTTTTGGGTTCCCTGTCGCCACTGTAGCAGCCAGTGTGAACTTGATCCTTGAGCTCCTGCCGTAATCCTTCGCGAGTCCACATGGCGGGAGACTGTGGCCTAGGAGAGGAAGGACCTTGGCCAAGCTTCCAGCTTGGATCATGGACACCTCCTTCCCAAGCGTGGCTGGACCACAAGAGGAAGAGCATTGAAGGCCACCCCCCTTCCACTCCCCTCATCCCCGCCACCCTCCGGCCCGGGGCAGTGGAGGGATGACGGGAAGGAGAAAAAGGTTAGCGCGGGAAGCTCCACCAGGCTTCCTGAGCTTGCAACTCGAAGCCGGTTGCCCCCTGGACCAGGAGATGGCGCTGTTCTCTTGCAGGTTGCTGCAGGGGTAGGACACAGCCTCACTTTTAGGGTTGTTCTGGAAGGAGTTGGGGTGGGAGAGAAGGGTTCTGGGTTGTGGGAGCCTATCTCTTGGGTTTAGTCACTTCTTTCTGGAGCTCACCCCAGGCCTGGAGGTTACTTCTTTTTGCCATGGGCTTCCAACGCCTTCCCAGGGCAGGGCAGGGAGCGCCCCCTTAGCAGGCAGATCCCCTAAAGTAACCGCTGGATCTCTTCTAGGTCCAGGAGCCTAGGGAAATTCCGACAGGAAGATAGATCCATCCTCTCAAGATCATACAACTGATCCCACCACATAGTTCTGCATATCATTTAAAGGGGCTTCTTAGCCCTCAGGTAAAGCCTCCCTGAGCAAGTCCAATTCCATTTCTGGGAGAGGAAACTGAGGCCTGGAGAAGCCAACGACTCCCCAGAATCTCAGCATGGCGTGAACACTGGCACCTACCTTTGATCCTCCCGACGGGGGAGGGTGTTCAGAGTAGACAGCCGCGGAGGTCCTGCACACAGCCGCTGTAGGGGAGACCTACAGGAGCGGGAGAAGGGGGCCAGGGTCCTTGGGCCCCTTCCCGGGGCTCTCTCCGAGGCTCAGAGCGAGAAACCCCCCAGGCTAGCTCCCTGCCAGCACAGGGAGGGCAGAAGTTGCCCATCTTGCACTCCTCAGCAGAGGTCCCCACCCTGTCCCAAGTGTCAGGGTGGAGGGTGACAAGGATGGGGGGTGAAGAGGGCTGACAAGGCCAAATGGAGTGGGACTAGCGAGATGGGTGAGGTTGCACAGAGGGGCTCACTCTATCTGTCTCCCCCCCCACCTCTGGTATCCGTCTCTCTACTCTTTTAGGCCTCTTGTCTCTGGCTTCCAGCCTCCCCCTCTTTTCACATCTCCCCGAAGTCTACCCACAGACAGACCATCTAGGCCAGGTTAAGCTCAGGCTGAGGTGGGGGGAGGGAGGGCACGCGTGGGTCAGACAATAGAGCCAAATGGGGAGCTGGCACTGGCAGGTGCCTGGGCATGCTCTGCCCGAGGCCAGTGGCCCAGCCACCCCCCAGAACGGGCCCAGAGGAGGGCAGAGGCTCTGGCGGGGGCACCAGCTGTTCTCAGCCCCAGGCTGTGGGCGTGCTGTTAGCGCTTCTGCAACGCTCAGCAGGGCGGCAAATGGGCCCGAGAGGAGGCGGGGGTCCAGGCCAGCTGCCGGCTGGTGGCAGGCACGAGTGGAGTGTGCAGAAAGCCTGGCTGAAAGGCTCTCACTCTCTCCAGTGGGGTGGGCTTGCGATTCCTGGCCCAGCGTCTTGGGGTGTCTCTGTTTCCATCTTGTTGGTTTGAGGCACTGAGGGACCCAGGTCGGCAAAGAGCCGAACTGGGAGGCAAGAGAATGATTTCTGAAATTGGCTTGGTCACCAATTTGCTGGGTGACCTTGGGCTAGTTACTGGTCCGCTCTGGGCCTCAGTGTCCCTATGTATAAAAGAGGCAAGGTGGGGCTGGATAAGCTGTAATAACCTTGAGTATGCCACCTAATATCTCTGTGCCTCAGTTTCTTCATCTGTGAAAAGGGAGAGCCCCACTTTCCTCAGTGGGTCATCGAGGGGGTTACATAAAGTTCCTGGCGTGGCTCTCCAGGCACAGCGGGTGCCTACTTAGGTGAGTTCCCCTCTCTTGAAGCTACTGGACTGGGTTTGTGACCCCTTTTTTCATTCCCACCATCAGGGGTCCTAGAAAGGGGAGGTCATCTTCCTCCTCCCGCTCACCCACCGAGCTCCAGGGCCTTCCCTGGGTGAAGGGACGCAACGAAAGCTCAGCGTCTGGCCCTACCTGGCCGACCTTGCTTTGGGGGGGGGGGGGGGCTGCAAGGCAGGAGCGCTGGGCGCCGATCAGGAGGGGCAGCGCCCCCCCCGCGCGCATTCTGGCAGCACCGGCGTGGCCCTGGCACCCCCCGCAGCCCGCCTCGCTCTCCCTCTGCGTTCCCCTCTGCCTATAAATAGCCCAGGACGTGCCTGCCTCGGCGATGACGCGGCCAGGCGGGCGGAGGGGGAACGAGGCGGCTCTGCGGCGGAGCAGGTGGGCGGCGGGCACTGGTGCGGGAGGGGCGCCGCCGCCGGCCCACTGCGTGCCAGGCTCTCCATGACAGGCGGCACTGAGTCATCGCCCCCAGTCATCTCGGGGGGCCCCCTGTCGGCGATTGTCCGCGCCGCCTGCCTTCCTGCCTCGGCTTTGGGGGGCTGCGGGGGCGAGGCTGATCTCGGGTGGTGTCGGAGGCCACCGCCAGGTGCGCAGAAACGGTGCCGAGGCGCATAGCTGGGTGGCCGTCCCCGCGGACGCACGTGTGCATCTAGCCAGACCGCAGCCGCGCCGCACCCTCTCCCCTTCCAGCGTCCCGCAACATCCCACCGCACCCCACCCCTGCCCTGCTTTTCTCTCGAACTCCTCCCCAGATCCCCCATCTCAGGCTGCTGTGGGGAAAGGGAGCGGGGAGGCAGGGGGACCCCTGCAACGTCTGGGCCAAGCCCGGCGCCCCTCCTCTCAGAGATCTGCAAATTCTCCCACCTCCAGGCTTGTCTCCTTTCGGCACCTCCAGCCCCCACCCCACTCCTTGCACCTTTCCTTCCTCTCTCCCAAGCAGACACACAGAGCAGACAGATTGGGACCAGAAACATTTATTTAAGGGTCTAGGGGCTCAGCAATGCCCCAGCAGACCCCTCATGCAGCCTCATGTACAGTGGGCATTGGGACCCCCCTGGGATATTGCTGGGGGGGGGCCCGTGGCAGCAAACAGGGCAGTGTGGCTTGAGCCCCCCTCCGAGGGGGAGAAGTGGAGCCGGGGCCAGTGGGTAGGAGGATGTGTCCCTCCCCCTGTATGGGAGGGTGTGACTGTGCCCGGGATGGGGGCTGGCATTGGCTGGCACAATCAAGGGCACGAGATGAGGCTCTGAGCTTGGGGGGAGAGGGAGGTTGGCACCAGAGAAAAGCAACCTGCGACGGAGGGGTCCTCCTCCTATGTGCCCACCCCACCCCCAGGGTGCCTACCCCATTCCTTTCCTCGTGGCCAAACAGAATGATGGGCCTGCCTTGACCATCTCCCACTCCCTCTTCCTCCCAGGACTCCGTGTCCAGGATAAGGGCGCAGATACAGCCAGAAGAGGGATCCCTGCACTGAAGAAGGGGTCCCAGTGTTTCCTGCAAGGCTCAGAGGAAGGGGGTGAGGAAGGGCCATATGGAGGGGGGCCCTGAGGGTGGGGCTCCCAGGGTGGGCCTCGTGAGACCTGGGACAGGAAGTAAGCACAGCTCCCCGGGCTGGCTGGCCCTGCCACCGGGGACTTCGAGAGAGTCCTGACAGTGAAATGGGGGTTCTGACCAAGTACGGGCTCAGTCGGGTTTCTGTGTGCAGGCTGCTCTGGAGGGTCCTTCTCCAGGGGACAAGGACACGATGAGGCTGCTCTGTGGTGACTGTTCTTGAGGAGACAGTCTCTGATTTACCCACGCTTTCCCCAGAACATGGCCCTCCCCCCCCTCCTCTGTCTGCCTGGGTTTCAAGTAAGGGGAGAGATTCCCACAGAACTTTCCTGAGAATTGATGGAGTGACAGAGGTGGTGAAACCAGGAGGTGGACTCAGGATCCTCCTGCAGCCCTGAATCGCCTCCCAACCCCGGGCGCTGGGGGGCTGCGGGGACTCGGGAAGGCACCTTCCCAAGGCCCCGCTTCCTTCCAAAGGGGCAGCCGCAGGGTCACACGCATAGACCCAAGCAGGGGCTCTGTGGGGAGAGGGGGATGGCATCGGGCATGCAAAGGCGGTGTGGACGTGGGAAGGCTCTCTGGACAAAGCAGCAGGAAAGTTCCCCAGGAACGCCCCCCTCCCCGGGGCTGCAGTCAGCGCGGCAACTGGGGGTATCCGGGCATTGGCTGGACCTACCTGGAGCTTCCCCATTCCCTCCCACTTTCTCCTCCTTCCTCATGCCCAAGTCCCAGAGGAGCAACTCCCTCAGGGCACCTTGGGACCCAAGAAATAAAACCTTCCTCAGTGCAGAAGGCTCCCAAGTGCCGGGGAGTGGCCCCTAGGAGAGAGGCAGGGGGCAGAAGAGTGTGGGCAGATGCCTGTTCCCCTCCGGGGCCAGAAGCAAGCGCCAGGCATGGGCAGGGGTGGCATCTGGCTTCTCTTGGCTCCTCTCAGATCTCGGTCAGGGCGTCGGCTGGCACCAAGCCCCGCTTCTTGCCGCTGCTGACGCGGATGAAGCCGTCAGCATCCTTGCTCCTGCCCGCGCCCACACAGATCTGAGTGGGAGAGACACGGAGCTGAGTCCTGGCTCTGCCTACAGCCCTGGCCCCGAGTCCTGCTGATGGCTCCCAGGGGCCACCCCAGGGGATGATGGGACCAGGATCAGATGTGGTTGGAGACATCAGCTGAGGCGATGGGAGCAGATCCCCTGAGGGTAACTGGGCTCGGCAGCGAGATCAGGACATCAGCAGACGCTGAGCGGCTCTTCGGGGCTGACCTGTGAGATGAGCTGGCCGGACGCCCCGGCTGAACTCCCATTTCACAGAGGAAGTAAGGGGAGGAAAGGGGCTTGCGGGAGCTTACACAACAAGCCAGAGGCATAGCCAACATTCAAACCCAAGCCTCCAGACTCCTCCTCCAGTGCTCGTCCCCTCCCCCAAGCTGTCTCTAACCAAATTCAGCCCCCTGCCTGTGTTGGCCACCAGCCCCAGTTCCCAGCAGGAGATGACAGGAGGGCCCTGCAGCCCCACCTTTCGAACCCGCCTTCCCTCCCGCTGCCAGGCTGCAGGTATCCTCCTCCGGGGCATTCGCCACTGCCCCTGCCGCCTCTCCCCATGCCCACCTCTCCGGCTGCTGCAGGGCCCGGGCACTCACCTGGTTCTCCTTGAGGCTCATGTACCCCTGTTCCTTGTTCCCAGAGAAGGGTTGGCAGCCACGCCAAACGTTCTCACCTGGCCTGACTCGCTGCACAAAATTGGCTGGGAAGAAGCCAACCCGGTCGCCAATCTTGCCCTGGGGATGAGGCTGGCAATGAGCCCCGGTGCCACCCCCTCCCACATTGCTCCCTCTAGACTTGATGCCCGTTCAGAGCCAATGCCATCAAACTCCAGATCCTGGGCTTCCTGTATCCGAACCCCCAGTAGGGTGGCTTCTGCACTGGGAAGGGCATGAGGTGAGCAGAGGGACAAGGCTGAGGCAGGGAGGGTCAAAGTGAGAGCAAGTCCCACGTGTTGGTCCTAGGCCAGTGGCTGGAGGACTAGGGGAGGTCTTTGGGTCTGGAGAGAAGGTGGGGCAACACCCATTGAAGGTGGGGAATGGTGGGGTGCCTACCAGGGTCCCTCTGCTCCCCACCCTGCCAAATCACCTTCCACCAGTCCTCGTTAGAGTCATCCACCAGCATGATCCGGTCCCCAGGCCTGGGAGGACAGAGCTGGGGTCGCAAATGGGCAGGAGGGACCTGCCCTTTCCACATCTTAACCACCTGGGGCCCCCAGATCCCCAGCACGCCCCTCCCCCTGCAGCTGGGGGAGGATTCTTGATGCCCTCAGAAGACGCTATGACCACAGGTCCAGTGGACACTTTAGGGCAGAGCCTGGGCCGGGGGCAGGAGACAGGACGTCAGCACCAATCCCTTTTGGACTCTGGGCAGTCCAGCTCCTCTCTGGGCTCAGCTGTCTCATGCATGCAGGAGAAGGTTCCTGAAGGTCCCCCTCACACTCATGTCCCAAGGTCTGGGAGCAGGGCCCTGAGCGTGGAGCCCGGTGGCTGCCCAGTGGGGCTGGACCACAAAGAGGACTTACTGCAGAGCCAGGTCATTATTCTCTTGGGGCAGAAACTTGTAGAGCGCGACGTAGGAGTACATGGGCCCCACGTCCTTTCGCAGAGGGGGCTTGGGGGGCTGTGGAAGAGCTCTGGGTCAGTGATGGGAGGGGGACACTCTCCTCACTCCACCCACTGTTCACTGGCCCTGACCTGGCCTACCCTGGGGGGGCTAGGAGTTGGGACACAGTGCACCTGGGTCCGTGACAGGGAGAGGTCAGGTTCCCCTATCTTCCGTGTTCATCCTTGGGGGTCTGGGCCAAGGATGGAGAAAGAGAACTCTCCTCTGGTGGCTGCACCCCGGAACTGCCCGCTCTTGGGGAGTTGGCACGGGAGTGGGCACTGCAGGCATTGGCTCAGTGGTGGGAGGGGTGGCACCCCCTGCCTTCCTTGCATACTCACCCTGGCATTGCCCATCCCCGTAGACTGAGGATAAATGATGGAGCAGTGATACTCCCACTCACCATGCTCTCACCCACCTATTGATCAATGACAGGAAGAAGTGACATCCCCTTCCCATCTGGCCTCCCAGGGCTCAGTGCCAGCATAACCTCACCTGCTGTCTGGGGCTCTTCTCCTCCGGTCCTGACCCTTCACTCTCGGCCGGGGCTGTGAATACTAGAGATGCCAGGGCAGGGCCGGGCCGTGAGGCAGCAGGGAGTGGCCTGCCCTGTGCTCTGTTCCTGCCCCTGGTCCCCACCGCCACTCACCACTGTCTCCAGGGCCCTCCTCTGAGCTGCGGATGCTGCCTTCCCCATCCTCAGTCAGCTCGTCCCGCTCACTCTGGGGACAAACGGGGGAGGGCTCAGCCCCTAGACCCTCATCCTCGGAGACCTCTGCCCCCCAGGCTCCCCTTTGGTGCCTGACATACCAGGCTTCGCGTGGGGGACTCAGAGGTACTGCTGAAGCTGGAGCGGTTCATCAGAGCCAAGGAGGTGCCATAGCGCAGGGTCTCGTAGACGGGGTCTACCTTCCCGCTGGCCCCTGCCAAGGAGCCACCCTCAAGGTCGGGCACCCAGCTGCCAACCTTGCTCTGCCCCGAAGCCCTGTATCACTTTCACTCCCTCGGCCCCAGCCAAGACGTCCTTTCTTTAACTCCCTGCCCCACCCCACCCCAGGCCCCTCTCTGCCCACCAGTCTTCACCAGATCCTCTTGGAATTACTCCTCATCCTTTGTATCTCTGGACGCCTTCCCTCTCCCTGCAGATGAGGACCATGCCTACTTGACTCTCTAGTCCCTGTCCTTCTCCGTTCAGGCATTCATGAGAATGGTGATTAACCGCCGAGTTGTGTGATTAGTTCTTTCATGTCTAGCTCCCTTACTAGACCACGAACTCCACCTTCTTCCGTGCTGTGTCCCCATGTCTAGCACAATGCCTGGTGCTTGTAAGTGTTCCATAGGATGTCTGTTCCATAAGATATGAATGAATGAATGCCCCCTCCATTCAGGACAAGGGCATTCAGAGCAGGGAAGTGCCAAGGACTGGTGGTGCCACGTGACTCGGGTGCCTATCTGACGAATGCGTGGGTTTCTCATCACACCCCAGCGGGATCAGAGGCCATGGGGGGACACTCACCAGTGGGTGGGGACTCTCTGCTTGTGACACAGGCTGGGGGTGGCTCATGCACCAGGAGCGGGGAGCTGAAATTGCGACGGAAGGAGGAGGACTATGGCAAGAGGGAGCAGAGAGAGGGCATGAGGGTGTCACAGCCCGCCAAGAGCTTGTCCTTCCCCGAGCCCCAGGACCACCCCACAGGAGGAACCAGCCTGGAGGGGGGCACCCATCCCCCCACAGGCCAGTCCTGGGGGGGCACCCACAGCCAGCCAGCCCCGCATGGTCCCCACTCACCGCCTTGCCGGGGCACGGCTGCTGGGAGACCTCCTCCGAGCACCAGAGGTGGACACTCACTTTGCACGCCTTACACCGCAAACCCTGCTTGGAGTTTCCTGGGAAGAATTTGGGTGCAACAAGAAGGATTAGGCCAAAGAGGATACATCCAGGGGCAAGGAGCAAAGGGGGCAGGTTAGGGCATCGGTGGAAGAAAGGGGTCGGGCATCCTCACTTTGGCCTGGGGGCCTAGTGCCTCCCCCTCATACGCTTGCCCTGTCAACCGAAGCCTGAGCTGTTAGTAAATGCAGCGACACTGGGCACCTGCCCACCCCAAGGCCGCTCATTTGTCCACCCAGGGTGAGGGGCACAGTTAGGATGGAGGGCCCTGAATAGCAATAGCCCAACATCGGGCATACTCCCCACCCCCATCCTGACCCCTCTCCTTGACCGCCCAGGCACCTACCCACGATGAGCTGGTGGCAGAGCTCACAGGGGCTGGCTCTCTTGAAGACGTGTTCCTGGAAGCTGTGTAGTCTTACTGGTTTGAGTGGTGCCAGGGGCCGTGGGATGGGGCAGGGGGAGGGGGCCGGAGTCGGCAGGCCCCCGTCTGTAGATGCCGGTGGTGGGGAGGGAGGGGGCAGCGGGGTTGGGGGGGTCAGCAGCACCTCAGTGGGGCACTTGAGCTCAGAGCCTGAGCGAAGGAAGAAGTTCTCCACACTCTTACTTCGGAGGATGGTCTTGAGGGAAAGCGAGCGCTTGAACCGCTGCAGCTGAGAGAGGAAGTGGGGCTGTAAGTGAAAGCCAGAGGGGACCGGCTCCGAGCCAGGATATCTCCTTGGTCAGCCACAGCCTCGAAGTACTAAGACAGAAGCTGCCTTGTTCCAGAAGGTGGTCCCAATCCTGGATGCCGACAGGTGGGTAACGTCCATGAGCAGAGGAGTTCTGGCTGGGCAGGCACAGTTGGGAGTGGTGAGCACTGTGACAGGCTGGCCAGCCAGAGAGCAGCTGCTGGGGTCCCCTGGACAACCGGGGCTAGTCCACACGGCCAGCCCAGTTGGGCGCCAGGCTTTCCAATTTTTTCAAAAAAAAAAATCTAGACTTTTCTGTGAATTTGGATAGAAATAAATTCAAGAGGTTGTATTTCCTTTTTTTTCCATTGCAGAAATGGTAGTGTACTATGTTTCCTACGCCTTGCTTTTTTCACTTAACAGTAAATCTTGGAAATCATTCCATACCAACACATAAAGAGTTTCATCATTCTTGTTTATGGCTACACAGGATTTCATCGTATGGGCGTACTATTTACTCGAGTTAAACAAAATAATACTTTGGCGGCCAAACAAACACACGAGGTCCCCAGTTTTCCACTGTGTTCTCAAACAGGCTGGGAGTGCGGGAGGGGTCATCCCGGACCCTCATCCTCAGGGCTGATTCTTCCTCCAAAATCGCTCTCCTGCCCATCCCCTATAATCACCTCATCACCTCCACAGCCCTGCCCCAGTTCAGGGCCACAACCCCTTACCTCCACCCTGCCCATCTCCCCCTGCTTTCCCTACAGCTGCCAGGGAGGTGATCCCTGACCTGGCTAAACCCTTGGCTCCTCAGGACACAGCCAAGACCCTTGCCCCGGTCGTGAGACTCTGCAGCTTGGCCAAGGCTTCCCTTCCAATCCATGCCTTCCGCCTGCCGCCCAGACATAGGGATTCTCGAACTCGTCTGTGTTTATTCCTTTGGGCTTTCCCAGCCCTCACCCTGGCCTTTTTTGATGTGCTTGTCCTTTTCTCTGCCAATGAATACCCCCTTTATCCTTTAGGGTTTCCAGTGACTGTTCCTCCTCCGGGAAGCAGTCTCTTCTGCAGGAATTCCGTTTAGTATAACCACTCCCTCCTCTGGGCCCCACTGCACCCAGTACTGACTTCCATTATAGATCCAATCTGGTTTACGTTGTCATTTACTTCTTCCTCCCCCAGGAGCCCGGAGCCCCTTGAGGGCAGGGACAGTTGAATCAAATCCCCACACAGAGCCCCAAGACATAGTAGGTGCTCAGTCAATATTTGTTGATTAAATGATGGGCAAGCGCCTGGAATCCTAAATGGAGCCCATGTTCTGGAATGCTGGGTCAGTTCTGCAGTGAGGCCAGAGTTCCTTCCATTGCTCACCCCAACACATCCTTCTCGGAGTCTGCCCAGAGTGAGGTCTGGAAACATCTCTACCCAGATCCTTGAACCTCTTCCCCCCTGGTGAGAGCCCCCTTACCCCTGCCCACTCCTTCCCAGCGGTGATCGGTAAAGGGGGCCGGAGGCCTGGCTTCAGGCAGGGAGAAGTGGTCAGGGTTCCCAGCTGGCACATCAAGCAGCCTGCGTGACTCCAGGGAGGGAGGCAGCAAAACATGGAAAGAAGTGGAGAGGGAGACGTTTGGGCACGAGGCAGGCCCTGGTGTGCCGGCTGGGAGGCCAGAGCCTTGGGGTTTCTGGCACGCTGAGTTGCCTAGCTCCTTCCAAATTCAGCTTCCAGTGCGGCACTGTGGGCTTCTTTGTGTGTGAGAAGCAGGGCCCCAGGCCCCAGATCCCTGGGTGTTAGGGCAGAGGCAGAGGGCCACAGGGACAATTCATTAGAACACAAAGGTATTCTATGAGCCAGTGTGGCTCTGGGGGCTCTCACAGGCCCAGAGAGGCAGGGAGAAGCCCCCCATCATTCTGCCCAGGGGACAGAGCACAGAGCACAAGCGGGCTCCGGGAGGATGTGCTGGGGGTGGGCGTAAAACTACACCTGCCGCCTGAAGGCAAGTCACTTCACTTCCCGTCTCTGAGCCTCAGTTTCCCCACATCCAAGAGGAAGGAGGCAGGAGTAGATGCTCTCGAAGCAATGCAAGGCTCTGGGTCCAAAAAGTAAAAACCTAAAGCTATAATGAGGGGCGGTCATTGTCAGAATACGGGGAGCGGGCTAGCGCTTCATCTGCCGCCCCTCATTAATCCTGGCACTTCCCTCTGAGACAGTGATGATTATTGTCCCACTTTGCAGATGAACTCACAGGCGCCTAGGAGTTAAATCACCTACATGTGATGAGTCTTCACCTGGTAAATGGCAGAGCCAGAACTTGAACCAGCGGCTTTGGCTGTTGAGCCCAAATGACCGGAAGGGTCCCGCTGCTCTGGGCTCTGCCTTGGCCCTCACCCCTGCCCCTCGGCTATGCCATGGGCTTGTCCACCAGGTCAATCGAAATTTAGGGTTGGAAGGAACCTGCAAGACTGGCCACCTAGAGTAGTCCCCAGCCCATGCTATCATCCCACAACACCTTGGCCACATCCCCCTGAACAGCTGTCTGACTCTGTGGGTCACCTCCCGTGGCAGGAAGCACACCCTCTCCTGGGACAGTCATCCCATCTTTGGGCAGCTGCAATCACCGCAAAATGCTTCCCTATATAGAGCTGAAACCTGCCTCCCTGAGATCTTGTTGCCTCGCGGCTCTGTTCCTCCCTTGGCTCCAGAAAGGGCTACTCCCTCTTAGATATCAGTCCTTCAAGTATTTGAAGACATCAGCCGTGTTCCCCTTCCCCTCCCAAGGCTGTTATTTCCATAGTAATCCCCACAGGATGAGATTTTAAGCCTCCTTACTCTCCAGCCTCTGCTCTTTCCTGGTCTTGCCCTGGCCTCAATGCCAAGAGCCACCTCTGCAGGGTACAGAGGTCTCTGGAACAGAATGTTCCCCAGCACTGAGGCAGCCCCACTTCTGCTCCTGACTCCCTGGCTCTGCTGTGGGCCCCAGATCCCAGGAGGGCAGAGCAGCGGGAAGGAACAACGTATCACCTGGGATGGTTGGCCGATGTCAAGGGTTGTGGCTGGACAGCAGGATGGGGGCACCTCTGCCAAATGGCTTGATGCCTGTCCACTCAAGAGACATCTGGCTTGGTTACTCAAACCTCATTTTGGCTCAGCCTGGCCAGGTAGTCCCACTCCTGGGACTCCTAGTTTCCAGAGAGGACTTTTCCCTGACTCCTATCAGCTATCTTTTTGGTGCCCCCGGGTCCCAGGACCCGTTCCCTGGCATGGGGAGAAGCTGCCATGTACCCTGGCAAGCTGACCCACCTGGATCTTATTCTCTCCGGGTGTTCCAGGAGCTTGTCTGGCTTGGAGCCTGGACCACCAGGCCCCTTCTTCTGAATCCCCTCCCAGAGGCTGGGCCTGGCCTGCCTGCCTCCTCCCCATCTCCCCACATACTGGATGGTCCTTTCATTTCCTCAACTCCCCACAGCATCTCCTCACTTTCCTCCAGCTCCTGAAAGGGCACCAGGCAGCTGGAGGTGGGTGGTGGCGGATGGGGCACAAGCTGACTCAGATGGCAGAGTTGGCATGGCAGGGTCTTCCCAAGGACGGCACCAAAGGGGGTGACGGTACCACCCCATGGTAGGGTGGCATGGGGACCCAGAGATGGCAATGATGGCACCAGGAGGGTCACTGACGAGCTTGGGTGCAGGGATATGATCCAGCCTTAGCGTGGGCAGGAGGCTGGACTTAGGTTGGCAAGAAATGCCCAGGGGGCCCCCAGCACTGATGAATAAGCCTGGAATGTTGGCTTCACTGCCTAATGGATACCAGCCCCCTCTTTGGACCTGCCTCAAACTCTCCCTTCCCCCTTCCCCAAGCCCTAGAGTCTGGAGACCAAAGCTTCTTTGGGACAGGTTGAGGTGCGGGGAGCTAAAGGGACTGGTAGGGCCCTGAATTCTCTCCCTGCCCACCTGTGCCTTCCTGAATACCCCCACCAAGACCCCCAGCCCAGCCTGTGTTGTGATCACAGCCCTTCACAAGGGTGAGATGTAGGGAAGGGGGGCAGAGGGGCAGGGCGAGGTATGCAATCCCCCTCCTCTCGCTCTTGGGATCTCCGTGGCTCAGAGGTGGTAACACTGGACGGTTCTTGTGCTGGGAGGAGGGAGGCAGAGACCCGCCAGGTCCTGACCTCCCCCTGCCCACACAGCTGAGCTTGCAGCCTGTGGGTTTGCTGAGGCAGCACTGCTCCAGCTTCCGGAGAGCTCTTAGGAAGGGGGGCAGGCAGGGGCGCCTGGGTGGCTCAGTCGTTAAGCGTCTGCCTTCGGCTTAGGTCGTGATCCCGGGGTCCTGGGATCGAGCCACACATCGGGCTCCCTGCCCCGCGGGAAGCCTGCTTCTCCCTCCTCCACTCCCCCTGCTTGTGTTCCCTCTCTCACTGTCTCTCTCTGTCAAATAAATAAATAAAATCTTAAAAAAAAAAAAAAAAGAAGAAGAAGGGGGGCAGGCAGCCAGACCTCCTATGGGAAGCAAGGAAGGGCCTGGAAGACCCCCATGCCCTTGGGAAGCAAGGGGAATGTATCTGTCTGTCATGGGTGACTACAAGGCACCTGGGAAGGCCAGGGATATTGGCACTCAGGATGGGGCTCAGCGCCTGGGACTCTCTGCTTCAAAAAAAGCTGTCACAAATATTCCAAGCAATGTCCTCCCACCCCAAGACCTTACTCCTTTCCTAGTAGAGACTTGGATCTCTGAGGGGGAGTTAACTCTGTGGTCTGAGAGACCAGTCTCATTCTCAGAAGGGGGCAGAAGAAAGTCAAGTTCAGATCTCAAGACTGACATGGAGACCCAGTGGGTCTCGCTGGTTTAGAGACGAGGAGCTCCTTGGGGTGCCTCAGCCAGGCCCCACCCTGCCCCTACTACTCATCTACTCCTGGTCACTCTCTAGATGACCTTGACCTTGAATTAACCTCATATCCTGAGGGGTGGCCTGGACAGAATTAGGAGCAAGATGGGCATTGGAAAGAGCTATAGATGAGCTCTCAACACCTGGAAGGAGCCAAAGACCCCACCCATTTTTTTGGTCTTCAGTGCCCCCTCCTCCACTGGATAAACAGGACCAGGTGGGAACAGAACACCGGGGGCAAGGGAGAGGGAAGGAGGCCTTGGCCTGAAGTCTGGGGAGGAGGCAGAGAGCGCCCTTGATACAGCCTCCTTTTCTCCCCCCGTCCCCAGCCCGCTCAGCTCATGTTGCTCCCCGCAGAACTTCTTGCGGGTCACTAGTGAGCACCTAGAACTTGGGGAGGAAGTGGACAGATTAGAGGTGGGGGGGCATTAAATTCAAGTGGTGGCCTCCCCCAACCCCTCTAGCGCCAGGAGTCTGGGCTCCGCCTGCCTTCACTGGCGAATAATTTATTCATTGTGACTCCCGCAGGAGTAACGATCATACATAATTAGGGTTAATTATGACATTCATTAATTACGATGACTTCTCTTTTTGCTTCCACCCACCCTGTCCCGCTCCCGGGGTGGGGGGTGGGGCCGCCTGTCCTTCTGCTCCGGAGCCGCAGCAAAGGTCCCCCGGTCCCCGCCCGCGATGGCCAGCGCTGCCGCAGCCCCCAGCGCGCACTCGGGAGCTGCGCACCCCCGGGCCGCGGCCTCACGTCCCCGAGCCTAACCTGGCTGGGAGGGGGGAATGCAGGACTGCGGCGGGGCCGAGAGCGACATCCAGAGACCCAGAGATAAACATATACAGACGCCGAAGGAAAGCGGGAGAGACACGAAGACAAGCAGGTTGTAGAGACATTTTCCGAGAGACGCAGGCAGAGGGGGACAGAGCGAGCCACAGACAGAGACCTGGCGGGCGCGGAGGGGTGCGCCTCGCACGCACACACCCGCGCGTACACCGGCCCACACCCGCTACACACCGCTACACACTCCGTCCGCCTTCGCTGCGCCGATTGCCTCCAACGAAGCCGAGTTACAACCTCCCCGGAGGGTCGCGGCCACGCGGCCGCTCATCACGCGCGCAAGGGCGTGTCGTGCTTGTGTGATGGGGGCTCCCTGTGGCCCCTCGTCGCGAACCCACTCGCCCCGGTCGCCGCGCACAGCCTTCGGGATCACCCGGGTCCCGCTGCCGTGACTCCGCGGCACCCGAGCCCACAGTGTGACCGCGTCGGGGAGAGGGCACCCGGGTTGGGGACGCACCGGGCAGGGGTCCAGGCCTCTCGCCTCTTGAGTTACCTTGGTTTCCTGGAGGGCAGAGACGGTCCCCGGGGGGGTGTGGGTGGCCGCGTCATCCGGTTCGTTCTCCTTCTCGCTCATTTCGGTCATGGTTGGGGGAGAGCGGAAGAGAGGGTGCCAAGACCCGACGGCAGGCCCGCTGGGGGCAGGTTGCAGGTGGCAGACGTCTCTCTGGAACCCTGAGGCCCTTCTCCAGAGACTGCCCCCCAGTGAGCCCCAGGAAAAATCCGCCCAGGCAAAGCGACCCCCCACGGCCGGGAGCGGGCGGAGAAAGTTCCCGGGTTGGCCAGTGAAGAGGGGTAATTACACGGAGCCGCGGGAGCCGGACGACCCCGGGAATGAGGACCGAGGGTCTGCAGAGGATGCTGCTCGGAGCGAGGGGAGGAGGGAAGTGGGGACGCGGGGATGAGCTGAGGGAGGGAGCAACGGAACAGTCCGTGTCCGGCCGGCTCCGCCGTCCTCTGCGCCCGCCCCCCCATCCCTTTCCCCCTCCCCGCGCCGGCCCCAGCCCGGCACCCGGGGGCCCCTCCGCCCAGTCCTCGCCTTCCAACTTTGATTTAGGAGGTCGCCTGGTCCCTCCCCCTTCCCTCCGCGGCTCCCCCGCGCCGCTATGCAAATCAGCTTCTCAGCTATTGGCTGCCGCGGTGGCCAGGAGCGCGAGCTGGGCGGAGCCGGGGGGGGCTCGATAAGATGGAGAGGAGCCTGAAGGGTAAAGATGTGGGGAGGGGGTAGTTTTACACCGAAAGACCCGGAAGGGGGGTCGTGACAGAGTCGTGGAAGACTTGGGAGACCATATTAGAGTCTGGATGGGCTTGAGGGGAACAGAAAAAGGTTGGATCTGCAGAAGGATAGCTGAGAGTGACATCCAAGTTAGGACTTTCTGATAGCGAAGTAGTGGAACAATGTGGACCCTTCTGCACCATTAACTGGACGTCTCTGCCCTGGAGACTCCAAATATACACATCCCTGGACCATGAGGAGGTGTCCTCATAGTGCTCAAGCAGAGGACTCTGCTTCTCAAGCAGAGAAGGGACAACTTAACATCATGTGTCAAAGGCCAGGCCTGACAATCCATCCTTTGTGGATGCAAAGCAGGACTCCTTTCCAGTCTTGGCCTTTGGAATTCAGCAGAGAAGGGGCCTCAGTCCCCACACCTAAGGTCCCCAAACCTCTCCAAGACACGTTCCCCTCCTAGAGATCCTACCACAAATGGAGTTAGATCAGGGGGTAGGGAGAGGTAGGGGGAAGATGGTTCTTACTCTCCAAGTTGTCCGCTGTCCACTTGGCCTGAAGGTACTTCTTCATGCAGGTTGCTTACCTGCCATTTCCCCAAGTCCTCCTCCCTCACCTCCAGCCCTCTCTCTTCCTGCTCCTTTTGGCCCTGACCAAAAGGTCTAGCTTTATCTCCTGGCCTGTCCAAAGAAAGGGAGGTAGGTTGGGGGTTGAAGGAATCCTTCCCTGGGTGTGGGTGGAGAAACTTCTGGATCAAAGTCTCCCTCCTCCAGGGGCTCCTCTGCTGTGGGTGATGAGATTGGGGGCGGGAAGGATGTCACTGGGGGGGGGGGGGGAGGTGGCACTCAGGAGGGTTCTGCCTTTATGCCAGCCCTGAGGAACAGAGGCCGAACCCTGTGTTCTCCCTCCTGCCCACCCCTGCACATAGCCATACATGCAATCTCTGTCCTCCCAAGAGTGAGCTCACCATTGGAGCACTGCTCAGGTTACTATGTGCAGGAATTGAGGTTTATTTGTCAGTGGCAGAAACAGGACAAGGGCAGAAGTGAGGGTTTGTGGTTGTGGGGGCTTAGTCCCTTCCCCCTCCAGAACCACCCACATCAGCTGCAGACTGACTCTGAGTGCAGACTGACTCTAGCTTTCCTGAAAGGAGCTTCAAAGGATCCTGGCCTCAGCCCTCAGACCAGTCTCCCCAAAGGCCCATTCATTAGCCAGCCTTCTGCCAGCGCCCTCTGAGGTGAGTGCTGCCGTCTTCCCTCTGGCTCAGCCCAGATTAGCCCAACTTCCCTCCCTGGGCACTCAGACTTAGGTGCTTGAAGAACCCTGAGATAGGGTCATCAGGCCCTCCATCTAGCCTGGGCTGGAGCAAACAGGGGGCTCTTCTGTGTTGGAGACCTCCCGACAGGAGGTACCCCCATTGCCCCCCAAAGAGCAGAGATTCTGAGTTTCTTAAACTCTTAATACCTATATAGTCATGAATTAATTGTGTGGCCTCAGGCAGTAGCTAAACCTTTTAGAGCCTTGATTTCTTCATCAGCAACACAGAGGCAGTGCCTACCTCACTGTGAGGAGAATGGCTGAGGTAGCTCCCCTTAGCCCAGGGAAGACTGCAGGGAAAGTTGTTTTCTTCTTTCCCTCCTTCTGAGAGACTGGTCCTTTCCCAGTGCTTTCCCTGGGGCAGAGAGAAGAACCAGCTTCCTCCTCTCACTTTCCTGTTAATTCACTAGGGAACCAGCTCCAAAGGAGATTCTGGGAGGGAAGAAGTCCCAGGGGGAAGCAGTGCTCCGGGTGACCCAGGAAAGCCAGGGAAGTTGGTGGGCTCTGGGCCCATCTGGTCTAGGCATCAGAAGCCCAAGGTGGGGCCAATGTGGAGGAGGCAGGGGGCTGGATCCCATGACCTCTGGATGTCCTTTCTGGCCTGCAGCCTTCATGCTTCAGAGCAGTCTTTCATGAACTAAGCCTGAGTCATTGCCTCCGTGCTTTCAACCCCCCCCTGCAGTGACTGGGGACAGGGCAGGAGTAGCTAGCTCCTGGAGAAGGAACATTATGCCATCTCAGAGTCAGATGGCAGATATGAGGGGTGGGCTGAGCCAGGGGCCAGGTGCTATAGGAGGGTAAGTAGCAGTCACACCCAGAAGGGCTCCCTAGACCTCAAGGCATAACGGAACTACGTGGTGCCTCTTAATAAGGCAGCCGAATGAGTGAAAGTGGGTGCTAGGCCTGGGGACAGAGGGATGGACCAGATGACTCCAAATCTGTGCACAGCACAATGTCCAGCACATGAAGAAAGACTGGTTCTCATCCCGGTCTGCCCTTTTCTTCTTTTTCTTGGGCAGAGACCTATCCATCTCTGGAGGGACTTTGGTTTCCTTCTTTTTAGATTGGCAGAATTGGAGTAGATTAGGTTGACATAGGGAGTCAGATTAGAATGGGGGCAATAATTGTATATCTCTTAGTGTTCTTTTGAGGATTAAATGAGTTAACATATGTAAAGAGCTGGACAGAGTGAGGGCACAATAAATATTTTTTACCTCTCTATCTACCTGTCTATTTATTTATTTAGGGATACTTAACCTTGAGCTTGCAGGCGAGCTTCAAGGAGTTCATGAATCCCTTGAAGCTGTAGAAAATGTTGGAGGATAAGCATTTTCTGGGGGAGAGTCTAGAGCTTTCACCTTCTTCTCAGAGAATCTAAGATCCCCAAAAGATTAAGAACTACTGGCCTGAATGATCCCCAGGACCCCTGTACTCTGAGCGGTTGATTCTCTGATGGGAGGGATTGCTTCTCCTTCCGTAAGGACTGACCCCTTTCCTCCCTTGAACAACACCTTCAGCTCAAGCCCCTCCCTGCCGTGGCCTCTGCGCCCCTGAGTTGCCAAGGACAGCCCAAGCTGAAAACGTGAGTGGCTGGTTTTTTCTCCAGCTTTAGAATTGGAGCTCCTAGGGTGGGGAATCTGTCATGGTTGAGGTCAAGTCTGGTTCTCATCTCCCAGCTGGGGAAAGGAAGAGGACCCAGGCTCCGTGGGGCAGGGGGCACAGGGAACACAGTGACAGGCCTGGCCTTGCCCAGGCTCCCCTCCCTCCCCCTGCCAGCCCACCGGGGTCCCAGAAGCAGATACCGCTCTAATGAGCTAAGGCCCAGGCGGGCATCGGTAATTATGATTTTATGAAAATATAGAAGGCTCTTATGCAAGTCCCTGACACACTTCCTGGCTGTGGCATCTGGGACAGCCAGGTCCCCAGGGGCTGGAGGAGAGCCCTTCCACCACCCCCTGCTGCCACCAACCCCTGGAGCTCAGGACACTGGCAGAGATCCGCCCTCCCACTGCCTGTGGCACTGTCCCTAACACACTCTGGGTGAGCCGCTCCCTCTCTCTGTGGCCCAGGCTCCCTGGAGGGGACAACATGGGCTCCAGGATATGCATTCCCTCCTCCCCTCCGCAGCCAAGCCGAGGCTGTCCCGGAGACCTGTCCTCATGGGAGGGGGATGGTGGCTTTGGGATTACCTCCCTCTCCTCCATGAAGAAAACCTCTCCTTCCTGAAAGATGTCCCCTTCCCTTCTGTTTCTTTTCTCCTGGGGGCTGGGGCCATAGGGCTGACAGCAGCCATAGGGCTGCACCCTCCCCAGGCCCTGTTCCGGTTTGCCGCCTGCCACCTCCCTGGCCTCGGATGGTGTCCTACCCACCCACAAAGCATCTGTTACCAAGGTAACAGCAATGTCATCAGTTTGGGGCGAGCAAGGAGGTGGAGCCAGTGGACTGGTGGAGGGGGTGCTGTTAGGGGTTAGAATTTTGGAGAGATGAACACTGAAGGGCCCCCCAACTCTTAAGGAAGATCTTTTGCTGGAGAGTGGCCTGGGCACAGACTGGGGCGGAATGTTGCCGAGAGCCCATGGGAAAGAGGGCGGATGAAGTCTGGAAGCAGCTGGATCCAGGTGTTAGAGGTGAGGGTGACTCGGCCTTACTATGCTGGAGGAGCGTCATGGTGGCGATGCCAGGGAGAAGTTGAGGCAGTGACAGTGGAGCCTGCCTTTAACTCCTCCCTCAGGGTCCAGCTTGTTAACTTGTCCTAGGGAGAGGCATTCGGCTGGGAGAGTCTGGACCCAGCTGAGGCAGCGTGGGGGGACCTCAGGGCCAGCCTGGGCCCACACCGCCCCCTGCAGACTGCACAGTCTGCACTGGATGTCCTTCCTGGAGGGGCGTCTAGGTGGCGTCTTTGAAGGTCTACATTTGACACATCCAAATCATGAGGTCCTACTAAGTGCCTCGAGCATCTCTGGGCACCAAGGGCGCCTGAGCCTTGCACTCAAGGCCTTCTTGTAAATCCTGACCCAGAGAGCACAATAATGCAAAGGGTTTCTCTGAGCCGACTTGGGGTACAGAGCAGGGGAGGCAGATGCTGCAAGCTGGGTTGATAGAGGCCATCGAGCAGACCGGAAGGCAGAGGCCGGAGTACTCCAAGCAGAGGAAACAGCCTGGGCAAAGGCAGAGAGGTGAGGGACAGAACCGCGGGCTGTGGGGGCTGCGGGTGAGCAAGGGGGAGGAGGAGTGGCGGGAAGGAAAGGCAGGTGGGGGCGGGGCTAACTGGCTCAGTCCGTGGAGCGCGGGACTCTGGATCTCAGGGTCGTGAGTTCAAGCCCCATGTTGGGTGTAGAGATTACTTAAAAACAAAAATCTGAAAAATAAGTAGGCGAAAGTGGACAGACGGCCCTGAGTGCTGAGCCTGGAAGTTGCGTTTTCCTGTGAAAAGTAGCTTCTTAAAGGGCTCCCTGGAGCCCAGTTGAGCAATCCAGCAGTGCCTTGG